TGTAATTGAGAAATAGAGAAAGAATATAATTCATATTTATTTCTTTTGTTTCTTGTTGTTTGTTGCAAAGTGTTCGTGCAAAAAGTTTCCTTTCTACATACTCTATTATTTATTTGTATTTTAGTACAACAACATGAGTAGCAGCTTTTTTCATTGGGGTTGTTTAGATGCATGAATGTTGTCTCAAACTACTCTCAACTAGCTTGAACTTGAGATTAAGATTGATCATCTAGATGCATTATTCTCCCCACCTAGCGAGCTAGATTGCCATAAAAATAGAATCAAAAAAAAAAAAAAAAAAAAAATAGCAATGTAACGATAATATTGGGAAAGGTAGGCCTTCTAGATTACATTTCTCTTGTCTTGTCTCAATTTGTTATATCCTTTAACTCACATTTTCAAAATATTTATATTTGAGTGTTTATTTATTTTTATTTTTTTTGATAAAATATATTTGAGTGTTTATTGACAAATATTTAGATATTTAATACGAGTAAAATTTGCTCATATGTACATTATGTAATTGAAAAAAAGGATCTTTTACCAAAATGGCTAATTATGAATTTTAATTCCAAAACTAGCTATTCCTTTTCTCTTTTGAACCAATTTTGTTCAAGGTCGTTCACTTTATTGATTTTTTTTTGGTTTTATTATAATTTTGGTTTTAGTATTTTTTTTATAAGTTGGAAATTTTAACGATATACGGAGTACAAATATACTATTTTTTTTTGTCTAGATCTTATCATTTAAATTTGGAATTTCAAATAGTATTGTTCTATCAACAATTCAACACTACCGCAAATTTATATAGTGATGAGGTTTTTAAGGTATTGTTCATTTTTTTCATGCCTATTAATTGTATACTTTTGTATAATGTCAGCTAATTTGAATGTTTTTTAGTTCAACGTGTATAATAAATAAAATTTACACATTTTTATGTGATATATAATGGTAAACAATGAATATGTTCTCAATTGTTTTTTATTTATTTATTTATTTTGTTAATTGGAAATTTGGAACATTGAGTTTTTTTTTTTCTAATAATTTTTTTAAAATGTTGATGCTTGCACCTCTTAACAAAGTAGAGCCTCCAGAGAATTGTTGCAAATATATACTGTTGAATGTTATTTTTCAAATTAATGGATTTTTTTTTTTTGGGTGCAAAAGAGGGGAGAACCCCTAACCAAAGAAAAACACACTAACAGAGAATTAAAAAAACAAAAAAACAAACAAACAAAACAAATTACAAAAACACACCCTAGAAAAACAAGCTAGTTACCCTCTCATCATTGGATATCTTAAACTATAGCATTAGAATTTCCCCCAAATAAAAAAAAATTAAAAATAATAAAAAAAATCTTTAAAAAAAAACCCTCATAAAGTGAACCAAACTAATTCAAAGGAAAATAAGAAATAAATAAATTTTTTCCAAGTTAATAAATTAGCTAGTTTTGGAATTAATATTGATAAGTAGCCGTTTTGGTAAATAATTTTTTTTTTTTTTGAAAAAAGTCCTAAAGGACATTAAATTTCATTAAATAAAGCTATACGGCATCTACAATTGACAATTAACGATAATGAAAACGAATTTATCAAAATCAAACAAGAATTAATCGAGGAAGGGCTAAGAATCCAAATACATAAATATAAAAATTCGGCACATTCTCGATTCGTTGTCTCATACAACTTTTTGAGTGGATCCATCGTTGCTTCGCAATTTTGTGAGAAAGTTAATTCTTATGCTGATTCCGTAACCCGAATTCGAGCCATAATCAATAAAAAAAACCCAAATAAAACCTTGTCTTCCGAAGGAGTTCGAAAAACCTTTTCTTTCGAAGGAGATAAAAAAAACCTTGTCTTTCGAAGGAAATAGACCCTTTCTTTCGAGGGAGACATTATTATTGTAACCTTAGAAACAAAAAGCTTAAAGAAAAATAAAGATTGGGGCTTTCCACCGGTGAAATGCGATGGAAGCTCCTTCAAAATTAATAATGGAGGCTAGAGTTTAGGAGAGAGAAGATTTTGGTAAATAGTTATGGTAAAGTAATCATTTTGGTAAAAGATTCTAAAAAAACAAGTATAGAGTATATATTAAGATGAATGTGACAAGTGGCTACTTGAGATTTTATCTTATATATTTTCATACAAATATAAACAAAAGTTCAATCAAATTAGGACATAAGTTAAGCCAATACCATGCACTAAGCTAGATCAATTGATCATATTTTTAAATCAAACCGACCGGTCATAATATCTTGTTTAAGATAAAGAGAACAAAACTTTAGGATAAAATTGAAAATGTATATTTGGTACGAGTATCAAATAACTTGTACCATTATTTAAGTTCCCATAATTACTATTCAGTATTATAAATGCTAATGAAACTTGACAACCAAAGTTATAGTTATCCTATCATCAAAATTAAATACATATTCAATGCCATTTTTCATGAGTATTGATTATTTGCACCCTTAGATTTCAACTTGCTTATTTTTACATGATCCGTACAATTAACTAGTAAGCAAATAAAGCTCAATTGGCTTCAAGTTGATGTACTAAAGTGAGCTAGTTGGGAAAGTAGGGTAGGTCCTTTGAAGCTTGGCACTACATCACTTACTCTTGTCCCTCTCAAAATAGTTAAAAGCTCTTTCCTTGTATTTTAGTACCTTTTTTTTCTTTTCTTTTTTCCTTTGGGTACATATTATTGTTGTCTACTTGGGTTAGGTAACCCACATTCAAGGGCATTGATTGTGTATCCCCCACTTCTTTCTTTTCATTATGGGGTATAATTTTTATATTATTGGGACCTCTGACGATAAGGCGCTGCACGATACAGGGTTTCTTGTTAATTATTATTGTGAGTTTTGCTTAATTGATTAGAATTTGTTAAATATATACAATATTCAATGCATATTTTATAACTTTTAAAAATTTTAAATCATTATTGACAATTAATTTCAATTATTTTTAATGAACTCTAGGAGTAGAGGCATGCCCTATAAGAGGGTAAAGAAACAAGCTCTAACTTCGTATAACACACCTCACCTCCTAACCAAGACCTCTGAGTCCAATCTAATAGGCAAAGACAGTTATTATAGCCGAGACAAAAAATAATTTCCTTTGAAACAGTGTTTTCACAAAAATCTCTTTTACACGACATATTTTATTGAAAAATGTCATCTTTCATAACATAACGTGTTGAAAGATACTAGGTGATTGTTAATTATTGTTTTTTTTTTTCATAAAAATAATATCACCCATCGAAACTTTATCATGCATATACTAGGTGATTGTTACCCACGCTCAATTATTTGTAAGTTCGGGGTGACAAAAATCTAATGTATAGGAACTTAGGAGACCTTACACACACATATTCAAGGAGTAGGATGTTTACGTTTTTATTCTTACGTGTGGAATGGAAGGTTTGTGACGTTACATTTGATGAATTTTTTTGGAATATTTACAAGTACTATAATAATAACGTGCAATGGCCCCGCATGTATTATGTAGCAGTAGTACCACTTGCAAATCGACATAATTAATTTATTATACTTTGTGGTTGGATTTTACAATAAAATCAAGTAACTCTACTTCCATATAGCACTCTTCTTTTATTTATTTATTTATTTATTTATTTTGAATAATTCCATATTTACAAATAGTACATCTTTAATTGCCGTAGATTACACTTTGTGGCTAGATTGTAATATAAATCAAGTATCCTAGTAATTTGGGTCGAGTTCACATTTATGACCTTAAAATTATGCATAAAAAAAAACGTTGCAGTCTTGCAACTGAACATTATAGAGGAAGTAATTCTCCAATATGCAAACCATAAAGTATTTTGTAAATTAGAGTTAATTTTGCATCGAGGTCCATTTTGTTTACCTTATTTTCACTTATTTTAGGTTAAATAAGTTCAATTAAGTTTAATAGTTCAGTTCAGGTTTAATAAATTCTGATAAGGGTTGCTTAAATATTAATTACGACTAAAATAAGTTTTAATAAGATCTAATAAGTTGAGATTAGTTAAAGTAAGTTAAGATAAGTTCAAATCAGTAAAAATCAGGTGAATTTAAACACACTCTAAGTATTGACTAGGGTGATTGAATGTACTATAGGCCTGTTTTGTTCAGCTTAATTTTAATTCCGCTTAGCTCCAATCAGTTTAGTTCAGCTCCTAATTTCTTTCTCTCATAAACAATTCATTTTAGCTCAATTCAATTCAGCCCCAATCAGTTCAGTTTAGTTGTTTTAAGTAAAACGGATTAGGCCCCATGTCACGTAACCTTTGACTTTTCAAAGTATATTTTAATTAAAATTCTTTTTTGTAATTTCTGAAATTTTTTTTTCCGTAAATTATATTTTAGGTTCTTTTTTCAATTTCTTACTTATCTATATTTTTTTTCTACAAAACTATTCTTTATTTGCAAAAATAGCAGTGCTTCGCATTATATACCCGCATAATAAGGCTAAAAATGGCAATAGGTCGGGCCTATGCGTGTGAGCTGTCCTTATTTGGAAGAAGCACGACAAGACACGACATAACCGGGTCCGACACGACAAAGCATGCTAAAAATAATGCAATTGTGCTTAGACACGCACGCTCGACACAATGGCAAGTGAGCCTAAGCCGTGCATGGATCAACCTTTTGAAAACTTTGACCCACCACATCACAACACAAAACTCCTTGGCCGAGCCATATGCTAGGCCTAACTAACCCCAAAGCACGTGGGTTTGGTACAAAATACGACCCAATACGGCCCAGTGTCATCTTTAAATAAGGCTAGTGGTAATCACTTTTCAAAAAGCTACAACTTTCCAAAAAGTTTGTTATCAAAGTGTAGTACTTTGCATTAGATACCCATTCTTTTCTACCGATAGTATCCTTAAACGTTGTTGCTACAATAAGTAGAAAGATTAATAAAATATGGTGGAAAAATCATCTGCAAAGCATAATCAAGTCATTATCAATGTGATAAACAAACAAGTCACAAAAAGGAGAACAATTAGTTGTGTATAATCTCCATAGTTTTTTCACAATGTACAGTTTCTAATGGAAATCAGAAGACAGTTCTAAAAACAGTTGGGAGAGCTCAAATGCATGCCTTTTCCCTGTAATTTTAAACAAGTCAAAGAGATCAGTTGAGCCAAAAATGAAAAAAGAAGATGATGAAAAACAACCTCTTCTCAGAGACAAAAACGCCTAAAGAAATCCTGAGAATGAAATCTAAACAACCATGTCAAAACCCTACAAGAAGCACACCAATTACCATCTTTCGCAACTCAACTTCCAGAAGCGAGGAAACAAGAAGGCAGAAGCTGTCTTGGCTACATAGTTCTATCTCTTGAACCAAATCCCTCAGTTTCTGTGCGGCAATACATCATTTTCTTACTCGCTGCTTCTTGTCCTACTTGCATGCCACTTCATGAAACCTTCTTCAAGGGCCTGTCGCATCCATGGGTGCCAGCAACAATCTAGAGCTTCAGGTATGGTTAACCAACTCCTCTGCCGTGTACTCAGTTCTGGCCAGTACTCCAGCTCCTCCTTCACAAGCAATGCATACATAGCAGCCTTGCATAAGGAGAACAAAATACCGGGCGATTCATTTATAGCAATCATACTCAACAATAAGGAGAACAAAATACCGGGTGATTCACAGAGTAGTATTAACATGTTCAACAATCTAATAATCAAACAAGAGTACTCGATTAGCTACAACTCCCACGATAAACCAGAAAAAGCTGAATGAACTTGTGTAAATTTACATGAAATTTTCAGAAAAAACTTTCAACCATACTTTACATAGTAAACTCTACTTCTAACCTTAATTTGATATTTCATTTTGTTCATTCTTGAAATAAATCACATCAATTCAAGAACTCAAACTAACAGTTGCAGTTCCAGACAATAGTATACGATCACATCATTTCAAGAACTCTAACTAATAGTTCCAGACAATAGTGTAAGCTCACATCAAGTCAAGAACTCAAACTAATAGTTCCAGGCAAAGCGTAAGCTCACATCAAGTCAAGAACTCAAACTAATAATTTCAGACAATAGCGTAAGCTCACATCAATTCAAGAACTCAAACTAATAGTTCTAGCAAAGGACATACCGCTCTCAAGATAATTCCCTGAATGGCTCAACATTCTAATCGCTCTTAACTCCATTGCCATTCTCAGACCCACCAAAGAGAAAGACCCAATCTAAACCAAGAAAGTAGAAGAAAGAAAGTGAGCATCCTGATTAAAAAGCTGATTAATTTGGTCAATTTTGATTAAGTAATCAACTGTAAACATAAAATTCAAAACAAAAAGGGAAAAAATGCTCGAATTAAACTAATTAAACATATATGAGTAAATTTCTTACGGAGTAAAAAAATTAATCAAACATAATCAATTACAAATTTAAGATTCTGAGAATTTAATACACTCACTTAAATCAACAATAAACCCCTAGATTTTGAAATAGAAAGTCAATGATTGGAAAAGAGAGAAAGAACTATCTAAAGAATCGAGAAATCAAAGTATGCACAGGAATTGGAAGAGACAACACAAATACAAACAGCTATTCATGACAAGGTGCAGGCACACTCGATATTTCAGACATAAAATGCCTCGAATTTCAGTCTTACAATTACATAATACAACAGGAGTACAAAAGAACTTTGAATGAAATAAACAAGTAGAGCAGAACCTGATTAAGTAAGTAGCAACAGCAGGTTGACATTTCACAATAACATGACATTCTAATATATCCTGAATTCTTATTGTTCATAGAGCCCAAGCAACCAGTATAATACTAACCATATAAAAGATACTATTGGATTAAAGGAATGCATAAGTAATAACAGCTAAAATTCATTCAACAATCACAATTCTAAATTCATACTTTTCAGCAACAAAACACATTCAAAATTTTCATCAGCTTAAGTGAATTCTACATCACAGGGCTCGAGAACAGTGAAACAACACAAGCAGTTAAATTAAGATGAATAGATCAGCAAACACTAAAACCCATCAAAATTCAAAACATGTAAATTCAACACCAAAAACATAATTCGAACACCAAACCAGAAAATCTACGTTGCCTCAGATCGAACTGATTCTAACCAGAATTCGCCAAATCAAACTCCAAATTCCCCAATTAAAACCAGACTTTTGTATATGTTATTATAGATATGACACCTACAAAAACTAGCAAAATCCCGAGACATGAATAGCTTCTATCACTTGAAACCTGCCTGAAAAGATGAAAAGGAGAGAAATGTGGAATTTGCTTCCACTATACTGCAGAAGAGCATTAGTTTCGGGATTGATCTTCAAACACTTATAAAGCTCGAAAAGGACACCCTATGCAATACTTCAAACTATATGACAATGTCTCGTGTAGAAAGCTGAATCAGTGCATATCCATATTACATATCCAAGAAATAATATTTTGCAACCACAGAATCGGGTTGGACAAAGATAAACACTAGTAGGATCACAACTATGGCGGAATTGAGAAGTAGACACAACGCGATATAAAGGATGGCAGCAACTTGTTAAAGATCTAAACAACCAGCATATCTAAACAACGAGCACCCACACACACGCACACAAAGACTAAACAGAATTTAAAGCCTTTTGACAGTTTTGAGCTACAAAGTCTACAAGATTCAAAGTGAAGAAAAACTAAGAAATTAAACCAAATCAAAAATAAATTCCCTCTAAATATTTTCAAATTCTTGGCACATTTATCCAGGTAGATTCCCATGGCCTCGCCAATATATGGAGCTCTGTCCTGAAAAAATTTGAAATAATACAACATATGACATCTCAACTTAGCTAAATAAAAACTCAACTAAATATGTTATGCAAAATTACTTGCATCATCATTGAGAATAGTCTCAAATTCATGCAATCCGGCATCGAAGGTCTCCAAATTCTTTGATAAATAGCAAAATACAAAACAAAATTAAGACTGCATTCATTTAAAAAAACAATTTGATGTGTAGCAAAAAAAAAAAAAAAAAAATCTTACAAATTTGAAATTGAATTTAGGATCATTCTTGAGATGTTTTTGTTTCAAAGACATCATGAATATGCCCATAGCTTTATCCCATATATCCATGTCAAAATCCTTGTCTCTCCTTGATCTTGCTGATTTCCTTGGTTTTGCTGATTTCCTACTTGCTCTCTCAGGCCAGGCATTGTTTTCCACAGAATTCCTAAATTGAAACCAAAATCAAATCAACTATTACCTCCGTTAGATGTTATGTGTAACGATTAGACATTTTCCCTCTCTGCTTTATGTCAAATCATTGCACATAACTTGTAACGGAGGTAGTAAGAAAAAAAAAAAAAATTTATAACAATAATAGGAAATTCTACCTTTTGTTGGCCTCAGCAATATATGAATCTTTTCTCTGAAAGAAAAATGAAGGAAGAACATACATTTCAGTTATGTTGTAAACTAAATGGAAAGTTTTTGGATTATACTCACGGAATCACTGAGGGAATTGAATTCATGCATTGCAGCCTGGTAGGATTCCCGGGTCAAAGTTAGCCCGATAATGTCATGAATCGTGATTATAAACCCCAATAATGTCATGATGAATCATGATTACCAAACCTCAATAATGTCATGAATCATGAATTCATGATTATAAACCCCGATAATAAATAGATAAAAAAATATATATACGTTAATCAATAAATGAGGTAAAGGACTACAATTATAAAATCGATATAGAATTTAGCCGAGATTAACATGATTAAAAGCTGAACAAGAGATTAGCATGATGAATATTGATTACCACGGCCCAAAAATTGTCCCATAACAGTCGCCAAAAAAAAAAAAATTTGTCTCATCATAACATTTTATTTTTTCTTTGTTGATCACACTTAGTTTGGTGATTACTTCTCATTAGTTCGACCTGGACCGATTTTGTTAGAATTTTTTGACTCAAAAATTTATTTTTTTTTCAGACGGGTTTGAGGGTGCAATTTTAGTTATTTTTTTGGCCCCACCGGACCATTTTGGACAGGTTTGAGCACAAAAATTTGAAGCCATAACATTTTTTTTTCTTTGTTGATCAAACTTAGGGCTTGTTTGGTTCACCTTATATTTGCTTATCTTATCTGATCTGATTTGAATGTCAAATCTGACCTTAAATATACGATAATCTATACGGAAAAAATATATCAAGTGTAGTCTTGTTAGATTCGTAATAACTAGCATAGTGCCAGTCGATGCACGGTTTATAAAGTATAATATTAATCCCATTGAAAAATTTAAATTTGTTCAAGGAATAAAGTAAACTCATTTATATTAACAAGTAAATTATAAATTGTTGTACTCACGTTAATGGCCAAATACAAAAAATCAAGGAATATCATATACGAAGTAAGTAGTACAGTAATTTATGTCATTCACAATTTTTGGTATGCGGCCTGCTGTACCATGCAGCAGGGGTTAGTTGAGTTACTCCTCGGTTAGGGGTTACTCAAGTTGTCGGGGTTACTCGGTTATGGGTTACTTAAGTTAATTACCCCTAATTGAGTAATCCATGACTGAGCCCCTAACCAAGTAACCCCTCCAAGTAATCCATGATCGAGCCCCTAACCAAGTAACCCCTCCAAGTAATCCATGATCGAGCGCCTAACCGAGTAACTACTCTTCAAGTAACCCATACTAGAGTAACCTCTAACTAAACCCTCAAGTAACCTTTGGCCGAGTAACCCCTAATCGAGTAACCCATGACCGAGTAATCCTTAACCGAGTTACTACCCTTGACCGAGTGAACCACTCGAGTAACCCTGTCCGAACCCCTCAAGTAACCTCTGATCGAGTAACCCCTAACTAAATAACTCGGGTAACCTCTAACAAAATTAAGGAATATAATCTGAGTAGTATAGTAATTTATGTCATTCACAATTTTTGGTATGCGGCCTGTTATACCGTGTCATAAGGGTTACTCGGTCAAGGGTAGGGGCAATAGTAGAAAAATGTACATTTGCGTCACTCATTCTAAGGAACGAAACAAATGTTTATTTTTACCATCCTTTTAAGTTATTTACGTCGCATATTATTCAAGAAGCGACGCAAAACTCAAGTGCATTTCAGCTTTCTATCATTTGCGTCGCTCTTATTTATTAAAGCGACGCAATTAATAATCTTATTTGCGTCACTCATTTGTTAACAAGCGACGCAAATAAGTGATTGAGTAAATTGCGTCACTCTTTTACTAAATGAGCGACGCATATGAGCTGTGTACAACATTATAGATTTTGTTATTTGCGTCGCATTTTATAATAAAGTGACTCTTTTGGCTTTAGGTTATTTTGCGTTTTTTGACCTTAGCTTTTCATCACGTACGCTTACCTTTCACTAAACAAAAAGAAAAAAAACAAGAGTTCTTCAATTCCAGTGAATTTCTACTGCAAAACACCCACAAATCCGTCCAAAAAACTGCGATTCCCCAGCAAATTCAACATCCAAAATTGAAATCAAGTTGAAGACCCATAATCGGCAGCAAATCCGAGCAATTTTGAGCAAAAATTTAGACCAAAAACCCTAAGAAATTCGAACCCTTAAACCTAGAAAATTGATTGTTTCCGACCAAAAATCCCCCATTTCGAGCAAAAAATCAACTCAAAACCATACGAATTCGAACCGTAGAAACCCCAAAAAATTCAATTTCGGTCTTCAAGTTCGATTGGGGGATTTCGAGGGGGGATTTCAAGGGTTTTTGGCAGCGACGCAAAACACCCTAAGAAATTCGTCCCATTTCAATCATAAATAGAAATTGTTCGAATTTCAGTCAAGAAATTACAGCAACAATAATTTCAGTCAAGAAATTACAGCAACAATAATTGTTCGAATTACGTCTTTTTCTGGGTTTAAGGGTTCGAAATCCCCCATTTCAGTCATAAATAGAAATTGTTCGAATTTCAGTCAAGAAATTACAGCAACAATAATTCGAGGGGGGATTTCGGCTTGACATTGTTGAATTTGTGAAGTTAATTTCACCTAAGGTAAGATTGCTTCTATTTATGTTCAATCTTTTCATGGTAGATAGAATGTAGCATTTAACTTGAACAATGACTTAGTTTAATTTCAGGTTTAGTGTTAGTTCATTAATTAAAAAATATATATGGCAGATTTTAGTTGAATATATAACTGGTTGCATCTTTGAGCTGCTGATTTTTGAGCTGTTGGTTTGCAATATATTACTGGTTTCAAATATATAACTGAAATCGAGTGCATAGTATGACTATGTGAGCGGTTTTGCAAAAATAGATAAGGCACGTGCTGTTGATCGTCATCCAGGCCATTAAATTCAGTGACATTGACCCTTGTTTTTCAACTGTCTTATCTTTAATTTGCTGTAAAAATGCTGCTAAATAAATTACAAAATACATGTAAAATCGATGACACAATAATGTTCATGGAATGTGCTCAAAATAAGTTTTTGCACCCTAGCGGCCTAGCATCAATGAAAACATATATGAAGCACATAAAGATAGATGCTATCTTGATCTAAATTTAAAAATAAATGTGAATGTTCTTTTACTTTTTTGTTGGATGCTATATATAAATGAATGTAACAACATTACTTACATAGATGAGATTAGATCCTAAATCTTGATTACCATACACAAATTAATAGATGGAAGAGCTAAAATTTGAGGTGATGATTTTAGTTAAAAGGTTAAAAATAGAATATATATATAGGGAATGTTATTAATTGAACTTTGATGGCAATATAACTGTTATAAGGTTGTTTATTCATTGGACTTTGATGGCAATATAACTTTGATGGCAATATAACTTTTATGGCAATAAAGACATGGATTAGTATAAGATCTAAATACCTGCGGATGGCTTAACACTCGTTTCAAGTCTTCAAGTTTTACACCATGATTGGCTAATAAGCAATGCCGAATAGCAACTTTTATTTCACATGGCAGATTAAGTTGAATCAACTATGTTGGTTTAATATATGTAATTTTTTATGCAGATTCTTAATTATGCGGAAGTGAATTCCACAAGTTGCTCGAGGTTCTGGTTGTGGACAAACGATTAAGGCGGTAGTACGCGTATGAGATTGTCTTCACTTGTGGTATATATATCTGAACCATTCTTTGCAATATTAACTTATTTTTTCTGGTTGGTATAATGATTGTGAATTGTATGAGATTTTTAATTGTGATATAATTGATTGGAATTGGAATAATACTTGCATCATTGGCTTATATACCCGTTCAAGGCTTACTCATTAGGAGTAAGTCTTGAATAGTCCCCGGTTTGGGACTGTTCTTGAATGTTCTATCTCATTTAGGTGATAACTACTTGAACTGTTTTTGGGTCTAAGAAGATCATGGCTCACTATTTCCCGATTGTTCTCTGGGTACATATGTTGATAGCCGATTATCTACATTGTGTGCTTGGAGAACTATAGGGAAATGTTGTCGGATTTTCTTTAGAACCAAACTTTACAAGTAGTTATTAGTGAGATAGGACATTCAAGAATGAGTTAGGTTGGAGTGATAAGGACCTTATTGGATCATCCGGAGTTGCATTTACATGATATAAACTTTGAATGAAAATGTTTGATGCCTTATATTCTTGTTTATGGTTAAGGAGCTATATATGTTAGAAAATATACACATTATCTTAAAATTAATTTTGTTATTCAGTGGTTGAAAATGGATTGAAGTTGGATGTATGGTAAACGAAATTGTACAACTTTTTTACGAGGAATTGAAGAGTTTAGCACTGTTGCCTTAAAACACCAAACAGAGAATAAATCAAAGATTATTCTTTGTCCTTGTTGTGACTGTAATAATTCGAGGGGATATAGTGATATAGTTGATATTAAAGATCATCTAATTCGTCGTGGGTTTAAAGAAAACTACACAAGGTGGACATGGCATGGTGAGAGCATATACATTGAGGCAAGTTCTAGTTATTGTCCAAGGGAAGATGAGAATCATTGTGATGATGATAATGAACACCAAGGTGAGGATATCGATATAGCTGATATTGGTGTTGAAAGTGAGATTGAAGTGGAGAAGGACAGGATAGATGAAATGATGCATGATGTTGAAGACCATTTCACAGAGTGTCCCCAGACATATGATAGTATTTTGAGAGCTGCAGAAACCCGTTATATCCTGGTTGTACAAAGTTCACTAAACTTGGTGCTATTATGAAGTTATTCAACTTAAAGGCGAGCAATTGTTGGACCAATAAGGGTTTTACGCAGTTGTTAGAAGCCTTAGTAGAAATATTTCCCGACGGGAATGAACTTCCAAACTCCACCTATGAGGCCAAGAAACTTATGTGACCCTTGGGTATGGAGTATGAGAAGATACATGCTTGTCCCAATGACTGTGTGTTGTATCGAAATGAGTATGTTAATTTGCATGAGTGTCCAAGGTGTGGAGTTTCTCGTTACAAGATGAATGATACTGGTGAGTTGTGTAAGAAAGGGTCTCCGGCTAAGGTATTATGGTATCTTCCAATTATACCGGGATTTAGGAGACTCTTCTCGGATGAAAAAACTGCAAAATTATTGAGGTGGCATGCTGATGGGAGGAAGAAAGATGGGTTAATTAGGCATCCTGTTGATTCCCCGCAATGGAGGAACATTGATCGAAAGTTCAAGGACTTTGGTGAAGAAGATCGAAATCTTAGGCTTGGTCTTAGTACAGATGGAATGAACCCATTTGGGACACTAAGTACCCAATATAGCACTTGGTCGGTTCTTCTAACTATATACAATTTGCCTCCTTGGTTATGCATGAAGTCTAGATACATTATGTTGTCCCTTCTAATATCTGGGCCTAAACAACCTGGAAATGACATTGATGTGTATC